ATAGGTAAGTCAACCGCCAAGGTGAGCGATTCCTAACCACCAGCGACCCCAGGCCATCGCCGTCAATACAAGTCCGGGGACTGCTTGTCAAGCTCCTTCGACTTTTTCGAAGCACAGTCGTACTCGCTAAAACATGACCCGAGCTCTGGGTGGTCCCGTGGTGCGTTGACCGGCAGCCCCGCTAGCAAAAAAATTGTCAACGATTCAAAGGAGGGACTGTCAGAGTCACCGCTCGGAGCAGTATACATGATGCAGCTGACAGCCGAGTAGTTCCCAGGTGGGAGCATCGTACGCACCGTGCGGCGCTGGCTTCCCCCTCCCTCGGCCCAAGACACGATTGGCCTGGCTCTCGGGCGGGATCGCAGACTTCAACACGGCGGCCATTTCAGAGAACGAAGTGGTGTATACGAGTACCGGGCGCAGCAGCGTGCGCCCCGCGATGCTCATCGCTCGCGTCCCTTCCCGGTAAGCCAGCGGCAACTGAACGGGAACGGAGCGACGGCTTTGATGGCGGCGTCTCGGAAACAGGGCTACCTAAGGACCCCCGACATTTCACCAAAATGCCTGAGGCCTCATCCGGCCAAAATTTGGACCCTGAAGGGTCTATGCCTCATGAAAATCCGGACAATTTGGCCCAAAAATGTCTCAAGGCCTTAGCCATTTTCCGGACATCTGAGAGGCAAGAAAGGCGAGGCCTGAGGACAATCCGGACAAAACGGCTGTATGAGCGCTTAAACATACGTTTTGGGAAAATTTGTCGGCTGGAATGCGTGAGCGCCCGCAAAAATCGCTTAGACGCCCAAAAGGCCTCAGGTATAATTCGGACAATGCTCGCGAAAATAGCCTGATGCCTGATATAATCCTGACATTTTGGGCTGTCTAGAATGCCTGATCTATCGGACAGACATTGCAAAATATTGGGACTTTGGATCAGGCATTTTGGTGAAATGTCGGGGGTCCTGCTACCTACCACTTCTGGCAGGCTGTGCAGCCCGAGTCTCAGATCTCAGCACTCTGTGCTTGTTGTACACACGCGCACACACTGTACATATATACGCCCGGGTAACACGCACGTGCCAAGGTTTGATCGTCGAGGATTAGCAAGTACCATGCACAAAGCCGGCACCGCTTCACGGGAGGCCAGCCGCCGTACTGCTCGTCAACACAAACAGATAGGCGCCGCGCCGGGTGGGTGTGCGTGTGCCGCCCCCACCCCCAGAAAGGACACCACCAGGCATATCGAAAGCACCCTTCCCCTTCTCCTTCCCAGCACCCAGGCCCCGGTCCCCCAAGTGTTCGCGCATCCCACACACACACGCACGCACACACACACACGCACACGCACACCGTCGGTCGATCCCAGGAACCCAGCACCATCTATTCTCGAGAACAGACGGCCGCGGTCGATCCGCACAGCAGCGCGCGCCGACAGGCACAGATAATCTACAAAGCAGAAGAGAACGAAAGAGGCAAAGAGCGAATTATACAACACTACCGGTCACCATGAAGGAAGAGGGGGGAAGCCGCACAGCGTGCCCCACGCCACGTCGAGCGACGCAAGAGCCAAGAAACCCCACGAACGCTTCAAAAACCCGACAAGACTCGACACGGGCGACCTATCGCGCCCGCCTCGGAGGGAGGACACGACACCGCGGACGCGCGCTCAGAGCGCACGGCGCCCGTTGCGGAAGCCGCCGCGGCCGAACCCGCTCGAGGGCTTGTTCGCGGACGGGTCAGCGGCCTGGTTGTTGCCGCTCGAGAAGCCGCCCTGGTTTCCGGGGGTCTTGCCGGTGTTCGCGCCCTTGATCGCGCCGACCGTCGCAGAGGCGGCGGGGGGTGCGGCGGAGGAGGCAGCAGCGCCGTCAGCGACCGTGAACTGCCAGCGATGCGTGAGCGACTGGGGACGCGAGAGCGGGTGCGGGGAGACTCACGTAGACCATGTCGTCGAGGGAGCCGTGCTGCGCGATGGCAACGAGCACGGGCTGGTGGTTCGCCGCCGAGTTGATCGACGCGAGACGGTAAGAGCCAGCCGGGAGACCGCCAGGGACGGTTGCGGTGAGGATGCCGTTCACCGCAGGGTCGTTGAGGCCCTTGAAGAAGACGAAGCCGAGCGGGTTAGTCGGGCTCGTCTGGTCGAGGGAGGTGAGCTTGTCGATGACGACGTGCGAGTGACCCTGGATGTCGCCTGCAGAGTTCACGACCTGGGGCGCGGAGAAGAAGTTCTCGTTGGCGTTCACGAAGTGGCCGGTCTCGAGGTGCTGGATCGACATCTGGATCGTGAAGTCCTTGCCCGAGGGGATCGTCTGGCCGTTCTTGGGGAAGACGAACTTGGAGGAGGGCAGGTTTGAGGTGGACGCGATTATACCCATGGGCGCGGGGTTGCAAGAACCACCCTTGATCTGGAGGCCGTTGGTGATCGGCAGGTTCGGGACGGTCGCGCAGAAGTTGATGAAGTTGTTGGAAGACGTGAGGGACGGCACCTGGCCGGCGGTGGGCTGGTCCTGGCCATTGTTCTCAAAGCCGGTGGCGATGACCGAGTTGAGAAGCGCTGCGAGAGGCGTCAGGATACTGCGCCCAAGGTGATCTATGGCGAAGACATACTCAGCGACTTCTGGGGGTCACTTCCACTGGTGGAGGTGCCGGAGGACACGGCACGCTCGACGTTTTGCGAGGCCTGTCGATGGAATGAATGACCGCAGCGGAGAGTGTGGGAAGAAACGGATATTTACCAGGGGCGTGGCCTGGACGAAGGCGGGGACGGCAGCGAGGAGAGCGGTGAAGGAGGCGGCGAACTTCATGGTGATGGCGAGGATGAAAAGTCGACGCGAAGCAAGCTTCGAAGGGTGCAGGAAGACCGGGGTGGGCTGGAGGGATTAAACTGCGGAAGGAGGTGAGCGGGGGGCGGGGCAGGGAGAGGAGGTGTGAGGGACTCACGTGGACCGGGAGCGGGCAGCTCTGCTGCAGAGTATGGAAGGGAGAAAGTGAGAGGGGGATGAGGAGGGGATGGGGGTCGGCGGGGGAGTATATATGGGTGGAGGGGTGACAGGACAGCTGGCATTGAGGCATGACGGACGGGCATCTGCCAACAAGAAGGCGGAGGAGAGGGATGTACAGACTGTCGCCAGGGGGACTCGCCCTCGGGGGCTATAATTGGGATCTGTTGGCAGATCGGACGGAGGAGGAGGAGGAGGAGGGCGTGCTCGTTTCCTCTGGGCGGCTGTCCGCGCGGGCTCGCCGAGGTCGCCGCCGCGATCGCTGATTGGCTGCAGTCCTAGGATGCGAGCCGAGCTGCCGTACGTCATCCCCGTCAGTACCACCGCCAGCGCTAGCGCCCATGTGGGGGGGAGAGAGTCGCACCCTTTGCGTGGACGGCGCACATGAACGCCGCGAGCGTGTCCACCTCCTTGACCTCCTGCTCCCGGAAGTGTCGCTCGGCAATCGCGGCCAGCACCCCGTCCACCTCCCCAATGTCCCCGTACACGGGCGCAGGCACAGGCACTCGTTCCTCTTCCACGAGTCGCGAGCTACGCCGCCTGCTCGCACCTCCATCTCGACGTGCACGGCTTGCTGCTGTGCCCGGCGGGACAGGTCCCGGACTTGCCGTTGACGTCTGTCGCAGAGCGTGGCCGTGCGGCGCAACATGGCTCTTCGCCCTCAACAGCGACACAGGCGGTCCGGGGTCCTCCACGCCCAGCGGTGACGGATCCAGGTCCGGGATCAAGTCAAAGTGCGCAAGGTATCGGTGCAGCGCGTCCGTCGGAAGTGCTGCAAAGTCAATCTGCGGTGCCCAACGCAAGCAGTCAGCATCAGCGTATCGAATCGTGCGGATTTCCTCCGTGCGAGCCTTCCGGCCTCTCATCAATAAAGAACACCAGGTTCACGGCAGGGCGCAGCCTCGGAAGGGAAGGAAGCCTTCTCGAGCGGTCCTTTAGGGACGCGTACCAAGGCGACCGATGCGCCTTCACTTTCCGCGGCCGCCATGCTCGAGCACGCCTGCAGTACTACACAGTCTGCGCGGCCAATCGACACCCTCTTCCCCTGAGCAGCAGATCTCCGCCCGCGCAAGTTGGCTCGCGTCGCAGCGACAAGCACACATCTCGACAGATCGCACACACGTCCTGCTCGACACGACATGGCACAGGGCAGGACCCATCCCACGTCGCTCGATCACTTGAGCCGTCCGTGCTCCGACTTGCCACAAACAAATAGGCATTCGCCAGGGCCAATACAGTCCAGCACGAGCCGCAAAACTCACCAAAGACACCCGGTCTTCCTTTTCCCCCGCGTTCCCCGAGCCCCCTGCGTGCGTCTGGAGCCCGACGCTGGCGGAGGCGGCGGCGGTGGCGGCGGACGCGTCAAGCCGTTTCCGCTTCGCCCGCTCGCGGTCGCCATCCGCGCGGTCGGCTGCAGCGCGCTTTGTGCCCGCCGCAGCGTGGTACGCGGCGTCGTCCGCCTGCGCGGCGCGTTTGCGTGCGTTTTGCCCCCGGACGCGGGGTGCCGGGGCCGTCGCTGAGGGGGGGACGGCTGGGTTGGTGGCAAGCGCACCAGAGCTGGCGAGCGTGTGTGCGGCAGAGGGGTGGTGGCCGTGGTGGGTGTGCTGTCCGTGGGAGGTGGAGGGCGTGTTCGCCATGTTGTGTGTGCGTCTCGAGGTCGTCGCGGGGATCGTATGAGTGCGCCGGCGTAGGAGAAGGGCGTTCAGAATGGATGACGCGTGTGTGAGTGCGGGTGGGGGAATGTGCGGGTGGGTGTATGCGCTGGGTGGCAGTCGAGACTCGAAATGGGCGAGGCTCGAGCAGCGGGCGACGTTTGTTTAGATTCAGGGACGATGTCGTCACGTTACGAGAGCGGGGGGACAGGGTGTGCGAGTGCAAGAGCGGAGGAGCGGAGGAGCGGAGGAGAGCAGGCGGCGACGAGGGAAGGCGCGAACGAGGACGGCCATTCAGGCACATCCTTCAGTAGCTCGCACATGTATTGGCACATACTCAGTCTCAGTGGATATCTGCCCCATGGCTGAGTTGGTTACAGCGTCCGACTGTTACAATCTCCTACTGAGCGTGATATCGGAAGGTCGTGAGTTCGAGCCTCACTGGGGCAGTCCCTTTTTGCTCATCTTCGACACGCTGAACGGGTCGGCGTATATATATGTTGAAAAGTTATGTTATTGTTCATTAAGCCAGTCGCCAAGGCGAACAACTCAGAGCCTATTTCGCAGAGGTTGATGGCGATCACGCCGCAAATGAAAACCGCTGTTTAATAATGATACAGCAACCTCAACAAATACACAGGGATACACCCAGAAAAGGAAGAGCCTGCTGACGGCCAGGGGCCCAGCAGATCGAGCTACGAGCTCGCTGAAGGGGGTATCAAGATAAGAGAGGTGCGTGCTGCCCAACCGACCGCAACGCCGGCGCACATCATTGGTACTTGTCTTTGTATATCCATGCCAGCCCGATGTCGCTCACGCCCTGCGCGACCTGTAGCGTATGGCACCCGTGCGCGCGCTCAGAATGAATGGCTCGCTGCATGGAGGAGGGGAGGGATGCTCACCGCCGCGCGGTACCACTTCGCCGCCTCGCGCTTGTCTTTCTTGCACCCCTTGCCGTTTAGGAGGCAGAACCCGAGCTCCTGTTGCGCGTCCGGGTCCCCGAGACGCGCGGCGACACGGAAGTATTGCTATTGACGGCGCACAGAGGTGGGGCGCGTCAGCACCATAATTGTTCACGAGACGTCGGCCGGAGCGACGCCGACAGCACTCACCACCGCCATCGTCTTGTCCTTCTCGATGCCCCATCCGTGGAAAAAGCTCTGCCCGACCTCGTAAATCGCGAGCACCAGCTCCGACTACGTCGCCACCCCCGTCCACCCCGCGCACAAGTCCAGTCAGCATCGTCCCTCCATCGACGTCGCACACAGCCCGCAGGCCGCCGCACGAACCAAACATAAATTAAAATGAGCACACTCACCCTGACCGCGCCCATGTCCATGCCCTGCTTGCCCTTCTCGAGGTCCGTCACCGCAAGCTCCGCCGCGCGCCGCAGCCACCGAAAGCCCGCGACCTCGCTCTTCGGGCACCCCCACCCGTGCCGCTGCGCGAGGCCCCACATGAGCATGCCCACCCCGCACCCGCCGTGCACCGTCGCGGACTTCTCGAACGCCACCGCCGACTCGCCCAGCCGGTTCTCGAGGTGGTGCTGAATCCCGACCTGGAGAAAGTCCTGTGCGGTCTTCGGGTCGGTGAGGTTCGGCGGCGGCGGCGCCGCCTTCGCCGTCGGCGTCGCGGGAGTCGTAGTGTGCGAAGCCGCCGCAGCCGCCGCGGACGGGCTGCCCAGCGAGGCCGTCGAGGCGAACGGGGAATGTGCGCCGGGCGTTGGCGGGTGCGACGGGTGAGGCGAGGTCGGGGTGGGCGGCAGCGAGTAGTACGAGTAGTTCGAGTACACGCTCGCCGACGACGTGACCCGCGCGCCCAGCCCGGGCGCAGTCGGCGTCTGCAGCCCGCCGGACGGCGAGAGCGCGGGAGAGGACGGCATCGGATGCCTGTCGGACAGCGACGCCGGCGACACGGGGCGCGAGCCCTGTCCGCCCGTCGCCAACGGCGAGCTCGGGCCCATCCGCGGGCTCGCGCCGGGCGAGTGCAATGGCGAGTGCGGGCTCCGCGCGTTCCGCATCAGCACCTCCCGTTTCTTGTCCACGTCGCTCGGGGGCAGCGACGGCCGCGAAAAGTTCACGCCCCCGTTTCCGCTCGCGACCCGCGACGGCACCCGCCCCCGTCTCGACTCCGCCCCCGCCTCCAGCCCCGCTGCATACTCGTGCGATTGCACCTCGGGCTCTGCAGACACCACGACGGTCGGCAGGCCCGGGACGTCCTCCTGGTGGTGGTCATAGGGCCCGGCGTGCGGATCAGGCTCGGACGCGCGCCAGGTGTCGCGGTACCTGGCCGTGATGTCGTCGATGTCATAGTTGGAAGAACGCACCGAATCGTGCGCGGGCTCGTAGTACTGCTGCTGCCCGCCGTGCTGCCCGGCCTCCTGCTGCGACGGGGGGCGGAACGTGCGCGTGCTTGACGACGACGACGGGGAGGGGGGCGCGCTGCCCATGGCGGAGCGGCCGTCCCACGAGAATGTGCGCATGCTGGCATCGTCGTAGTACGAGGACGCGGTGGCGGTCGAGGTGCGGAACTGCGTGTGCAGGATCGGCGAGTGTGGTGGCGCGGAGGGAGTGTGCCCTGACCCTGCGCTCGCCGCCGGCGGGCTCGGGAGCTCGAGATTGGAGGGGCGGTGGTAGTTTGGGCCCACGCGCCTCGTCGACGTGCTGCGGATGAGCGTCCCGAGTGGGGATGAGTCGTGCACGTTCGGCGTGAGGGGCTGCACGGAGAACTCAGGCATCCTGCAGCCGCGTGCTGTATTGAGGTGGGGACGGGGTGCAGTCTGAGTATATGTCGCGCTACAGTCTACAGATGGTCGTGGTTATAGAGGGACATCATTGACAGTGATCGTCGCCAAGCAGCACAGCACACCCCAGGCCCACGGCGCATCGGCCATCCTAGATCGTCATCGCAGTCCCGCCAAGTATGCTCGTTCCAACATCACGCCACGTTCGCTTTCTCCCGCTAAGCAAGACCAGGACACATCGTATTATGAGGCTGGCTACAACTAATAGGACCTGTGCTGTACTCGACGCGTCTAGAGGTACTTTTTGGACCGCTTGAGATCCGCGTACGGGTCCGGCCTTGGCATCTTGCCAAACCGCGGCTCCTCCTTTCCTGTGGCACAGGACGCACCGGACAAGACATTAGCGCAACTCTTGGTATCTGGTGCCGGTTAGACTCACTGAGCGTGTGCTGGTAGATATGTGAGACCGTCTCGTCCCAGACTTCACGCCACATGTGTGCGCCGCCGCCGCGGGCACCGTCGAGACCGTACTGCGCTGCAAAAGCACGGAAGTCGAACCCGAGCCGGTCAGAGTCTTCAAACACCGGAACGCTGATGGGCTCTGGCGCCGATGGCTGTGGGAGCATGAGAAGCACATAGCGATGGTAGGGTGTGCCACGCTGAGGATGCGGCGCAACGTAGCGCGTATGCGTGTTCAGAGGAACGGGAGGAGTAGTGGTGAATGCAGAGAGCGGGATATTCGGCCTGACGTATGACTTAGAACCCAAGCGAGCGTGACGGAGGGAGTGAACTCACTGCAGCCAGTGGAGGTAGGAGGTAAAGGTCTGATTCTCCGGGTCGGGAACGTCCAGGTCCACCATCAACAACGTATAGAGACGTGTATCGGTGTGGAAGAGCGTCATGGACAGCTCAGGTAATCTCCGAGTCTGGGCAACCATACAAAATGTCAGGTTGCCTGGGGCAGGAGTGAACGTCATGACACACCTGTTCCGGAGCGAGGAAGACACCGGGCTCAACTGGCTTGAGTTTACGCTTCACACGCGTGCGAAGGTAGTTGCTGTCCGGGGGCGCCTCGGCATACTTGATGCGTAGGTCAAAGGAGGGACGGAGCTCGGGGAGCAAGTCTGGGACGACGTTCATCTGGTAAATACGTTCCATCTGGGACCACCGGCGGGTAACATGAGTATGTGCGTGGCATACAAATGACACATCCGTACCAAAAGGTCCAAGTCGCCCTCTTCCCTCCACTTCTGCTCGACCAGGTGCCGGTAGATCGGCTTGCTCATATCGGCTGACTTGCGTTCAGTATTGCCACCCGTCCAAGCATAGTTCGCGCTCACCCAAACCACTCTTCGCCTTCCACCGTACTTCGGGGATGTTCACCTCGCTCTGGATCTCCAATACCCTGACCTGCTCACGCAAGCTCTCCAAAGCCACCTCGTCACGCTCTGGCTTCTTCTCCTCCGCCTCCACCGCCGCCCGCAGCTGCTCAAGCTCCTTGCGCATGAACGCCGCGTCCTTCAGGATGTAGCGCAGCGCATAGTCATACGCCGGCTCGACGCCCTTGGCGATCGGACGACACCAGTCGCGCGGTCCCTGCGCCGCTTTCACGCGTCTCGCACCATTTCGTTGCTGACCATCTCCACCCCCGCTCGCACCGGCGCTCCCAGAACTGTTTTCCGCCTGCTTGCCTGCGACGGCGCTGGACTGCGCTGTCACCGACGACGGGGGTGGAGGCGGCGGTGCATCGGCTTGTGGGTGTACGGTGGCGTCGAGAGTGGCGTGGCCGCGTATGCTCGCTAGTCTAGGAGTAAAGCGAGGCAGACGGCGGAGAGCGAGCATGGCCAAGATGGGTGCTGGAATAGTCGGACAGACGAGCCGGGGAAGGTCAGAAATTGAGGACGAGCGTCTACACAGAAGTGTCTGTCCTGATTTGGCATGTGTAGTGATCAGCGTTGTTAGACCTCCTATACTGTACCAAGTAGTACCGAATATTGTACGGTGATCGCGCTACTACGATAGGAGAATGTGAAATCCGGTTCGCTTGGCGTAGATATTTTTTAACTGTTCAAATATAATGGTGCACCATGGAGAGCGAGGCGGATGGATGTCAACGCTAAACTTATCTTGCAGCATGTGTTGTTCGTACCATATTACCGCTGCTGACAAGATGGAAGTCGATAGGAATTCAACCAGTCCTACTGCGCACACAAATTATGTGCTGCAATTTTTTTTTCAGTAGCCACACACTGAGAGAAGAACATAAACTTAGCAGATGCGAACCTTGAAGAGCCTTGGCCCTCATACATATATCATATTCCCGACTTGCTAAACACCCGAGTGTGTGTGAAGGTCTTTGACGTATTCGACAAACCTGGAAAGAGGCATATGGTATTCTATCAAATGTAAAAGTGTTGATATTACCTAGCATAAGCCTGCGTGAGCGGCGGATGCACGCGGTCAAGTGTCCTCAGCAAAGCGATCATCGAGGCTCAAATAAAATTGGAAGCCCGTGAGCCCACTCAGTGAAAGGATACAAGCTAGATATTGCAAGCTACCGATACAACGCTATCGAGTTCCAAGAAAAATATATATCACACCTCCTGCTCGTACGCGTCCCACTCGCCGTACGTGTCGTCCTTATCGCTGCCCCCCTCGTCCGCGTCCTCCTCGCCCTCTGCATCCTCTTCTTCTACGCCACCTGCCA